TTTTTTTTTTTTTTTTTTTTTTTTTTTTTTTTTTTTTTTTTTTTTTTTTTTTTTTTTTTTTTTTTTTTTTTTTGTTTTATTTTTCATTAACTAAGTTTATTTGATATCAACTCCAAGTCTTTTAAATATATCTTTTATATTTTTATGCCTATCTAAAATTTTAAGAAATTTCATTTTTATACGTGGATCTCTTAATAATACTGGTTTATTAACAATTTTACAAACATCTAAATCATTTTTATGACCATCTTGAGAAAATTCTTTCCATCCTAAAACATTGAATTTATAACAATCACAATCATCAAAATTAGAACTTTTATTTAACTCATTTGCTTCTTTACTTTCATTATTAGAATTTTTACTTATGTTATTATTATTTATATTATTATGATCTGTATTATTATTTACATGTTTCAAATTAGGAGAATCAAAGAAACGGTTATGAGTTATATCAAAATTATTAGAAGATATATATTTAGAATTTGGTGAATTATTAACACCATTAGTATCATTTGTTATATTGTTATTATCTTTAACTTCTACATTATTATTATTGTTGATATCATTATTATTATAATTAAAAAAAGGAGAATTAACATCAGACATCACATTATGATGACCTTTCATATTTAATGCATTTATTGAATTTTCATTATTTATTAAACTATAATCATGTGTTTTCATGCTTTGATTATTATTAATATCATTTTTAATATTGCTATTTATTTCTATAGAAGTATTTGTATTTGTGTTATTTAAATTAAATGAATAGTTGGATGAATGAATATTATCAATGCCTACATTATTTGGTATATCATTATCATAATTATAGTTACTGTTATGATTTTTAATGTTATTATTATAATTATTAATATTATCATAATTCTTATCATTACTATAGCTCTCATCGTTATAATTGTCATAATTATTATTGTGATTGTTATTTTGGTTATTATAGTTATCATTACTATAATTATCATTATTAGTATTAGAAGTAGGAGTAGGAGTAGTAGCAGTATTATTATAATTTTCTTTATTAACATAATTTGAGTTATGAAATTTTTTAGCGTTTCTTAACATATTAGCTTTATTAGGAACCATTTTAATTGAATTATCTGTATGTTTTGAATCATTTTGTCTCATCTCATTATTTACATCATTTCCTACTTTATTAGTTATATTATTTGTTGTATTATTTTTATTTAAAGTATTATTATAATTTTCATTTTTAATAATATTTAAGTTATTTACATTTGAAATACTAGTAGTATTATCATTGCTTATATTAGGAATAAAATCATTACAATTATTCATATTATTAACATTTATTTTATTAAGGTTATTATTTAATGTATTAGTTGTTTTATTATCTTGATTACTTATATTTTTATTTATAGAATTATTAAATTTATTTTTATTATTTGAATCAAGATTTTCATTATTTTCGTTATTTGTTTCGTCATTTTCATTGTTACTATTATTCGTGGCATTATTGTTAGTGGTAGAATTTATAGCGGCATTCGTAGCTTCATAATCATCAACGTGTTTAGATGGAGCTCTTGATGATAATGTTTTTCTATTTCTGAAATGATCTTCAAATGTATTTTTATCAATTCTCTTGAACTGCTTACCTTTTGATTGCATTAGTTGAGTATTTAAATCTATTTTTTTTTTTTGTAGCTTATTATTTTCTTCTTTTAATAACCTTATATAATTATATAATGAATGACTTTCATCAATTTCTTTCGATTTATTTTCTTGAGAGACATTAAATAATGTGAAGCTTTTTCTATCTTCATCATTTTCATTCAAATATATTTTAGATTGAACATCACAAAGTAAATGAGAACAATGATCATATAATTTCTTATTAATTGATGGTATTAAATTATTTGAGTTAATATTTTTTATTGTTAATAAGTAGTTATTATCTAAATGCTGATGAGATTCAAATGCTTTTATAATTTTATTTAATATACTTTTTGAAAAGAAAATATCACTTAATTTACTAAATAAATACTTAATATTTATAGTTAAATTAATATCATTGAAAAGATTTTCAAAAAAAAAAGTATAATCTTTTGTTTTAACATCTTTAACAGAGATACTATTTAATATGTTTGTGTCTACAGTACTTTCATTTGTATCATTTTCATTTATACTATTCTTAATACTATTTTCGTTTAAAATATTATCATTTAAATCAATCTTATCTAATTCATTTTCATTTACAACGTTGTTCAATTCATTCTCATCTTGCTTATCTACATTATATGAGTTAACAATATAGGTATCATCAGTATTATTATTTTCTATTTTTTTATTTATGTCTGTTTTAATATCATTCATAGTGTTATCTAGTATTTTTTTTTTTTTTTCTTCTTCTTCTTCTTCTTTTTTTTTTCTTCTTTTTGAAGGTATTTCGCAACTTTGAGAATTTTTATCTAAACTAATTCTACCATTCTTCTTTATATCTTGATTTTTGTATAAAATATTTAATTCTTTTAAGTCATAACATGCAAATAAAAGAAAATTTTTAAAAGTAATATTTGAAACAAACGAAACATTTAAACTGATAACTTTTTTCTTAATTGATTTCAATTTGTCAATTATACTTAAAATAATTTTAGATAAAATATAAAATGAACTGTTCTGATTTGTATTGACATTTTGATTTGAAATTTCAATATTTGTTTTTTCCTTTGAATTAATACCAGGAGTTTGTGATAATTCTGCGTTTTTTTTTTTATTTATTAAATCTTTTTGTTTTGTATTATTTGTATCTTCATCGTAATTTTTCTCAATTGCGTTGATTATAAAGAGGTGTAAATTATTTAAACTATTTAATAAATTATTTAAGAAATTATTTTTAAAATCTTCTACAAAATTTAAATAATCAGAATTTCTTTTACTATTTTCATTTTTATAACTAATTTTCTTTTTTTCTTGAAATGCATCTGGATTTTCACATTTATTTTTATTTGGTCTAATTTTTAAAAACTTCATGATAAAAGAATTATCATTTAGAACTAAATTCATAAGAATAAATAATGAATTAAAATTGTAGTTTATTATTCTCATAATTATATTTAATATTATGTCTATAATACTTATATATTCATATAATTCAATAATTTTATAATTCGTTTCTTCAATAACATCAAAATAAAAAGAAAAAAATTCTAATAACTTTCCTATATTAATATGCTTATTTAATTTTAAGCAAAAATCATTTATATGAATATATATATTTTCATTATTGTGGTTTTCAATATATTCTTCCATACTGACGTTATAATGTTTTTGAAAAACTGTTTTCCTTTTCATTTTATCTTTATAATTATGTATATATTTAAAAAAAAAATTAACTAATTTTTTTTCTGTATTAAAAAAGGTGAAGAAATATAAAACTTTATTTTTTATTATTTCATAGATATTTATTAAACAAAGATTGACAGTTTTTATATCAACATAATCTGCATATTTATAAAGTATTTCTTTATTATTGTTATCAACAATATTTTTTGTATTAATTAATTCAAAAAAATAATTAATAAAAAAATTTATATATTTAATGTAATTAGGACATGAAAATAATATTTTCATTTTATGGTTTTTATTAAGATTCTGATATTTGCTAATTCTTTTTTCTTCCATACTTTGATTTATAAAATATTCTTTTTCTTTATAATAAACTTCTTTATTAATATATAGTATGTTATTATTACTATTATTATCAAAATTTTTATAAGTATCCTCCTCCTTTGAACATGTTATTTTAAAATTGTCTTCATTATGTAAAATGTTATGTTTATTGAAAAATATAAAAAGAACATAAATATATCCATGAAAAATTGTGCTTGATAATTTTATAATAAATCTAATAAGTTCTTGAGGGAAAATATTTTTTAAAGTTTTAATTATATTGTATAATATGTTCAATAATTTTTTTGATGGAAAATATAACAGCTTAATTAATTTGTTGTAGTTATTTTTATAATTATTGAAAAAACATATTTTTAAAATGTCTAAAATAAATGAAAATATATTACAAAGCTCTTTAAGATGATATATCTCTTGATTATATGTGTAGTAAGCATTATTTGATTGGGTATTATTATAAGAAAAAAAAGAAAAATAGTTAATTTTATTCATGCATATACTTGTATTACCATCATTATCTTTATTAAATGAATTTAAATTCTTTAAATTATTAATTATTTTACGAACATATTCAAATAAAATTGAAAATATAGGTATTCTATGATTTATAAATATAACACAACAATATGCACTTAAACATTTTCCAATAACATTATTACTTTTGCTTATTCTTATTATAAAATTTATATAATCACAAAAATCTTCAAAATTTGTGTATTCTCTAATTTTTAATTCTCTTCTAATTAAATTTAGTTTTTCTTTTTCTTCTTCCTTTAAGCTATTTATATTAATATTTTGATCAAATAAATATTCTTCTCTTCTCAATTTATTTAAGATATTTTCATAATGTATTTCATCATTATCTTGGAAAAAGTTTTTAATGGAAAATGGAGAAGGAACACACTCTGATTTATTATTGCATAATTTTTCTTTATTGTTTTTATCTTCTGTTATGCTTTTATAATTTATATAACTGCTCTCTTTTTTGTCAATATTCCTTAAAGAATTATTTATATTTTCTCTCGTAAAATTATCATCATTATTTTCATAATAAAAATCTCTTAAAATTATTTTATTTTTATAAATTTTATCCGTAGATAAAAAACTTATTCCTTTAATTTTATTTCCTATATAATTTTTTAAAGTATTTTCGTCTAAAAAATTATAATTTGTTTGGTTATTTGTATCATTATTACTACTATCATTTTCATTTAATTCTTTCAAGTTAATTGTTAAATTACCGATCAGAGAAACATAATTATCATTTGATTTCTTATTATTATCAGAATAAAATACCTCTTCATAATCATCAGAGGAATAATTTAAGTTAAAAACACGAAAAAGCTCACAATGTTTTTCACTCATAATTTTTTTTTTTATATTTATGGAACAACATAAATATAAATTTTTACTTTTTTCAATATTAAAAGGATTACTTATTTTATAATACAAAACTATTTTTTCTAAATCTTTTTCTTTATTTAAATTTCCTTTATAATCATCTTTTTTTTCTTTAATAATGTTATTGTTAGCACTTTCTTTTATTTTATTTTCTATTAATTCCTCATTTTTCTCTTCATTATCTCTATCTTCTTCATCTTCATCTTCTAAATCACTAAAATAATTAATACTATGGTTACTTAAAATGTTGGAATAATAATTAAATATTTCATAATTTCTTTTATATAAGGTTAATTTGTCATAATTATAATTATTTTTAATAATAGAAGAATTATTTAATTTTCTTTTTTCTTTTATATAATTATTATTATTATTAATATTATTTAGAATTGTACTACTTTTATTAAATATATCTTTATCATCCTTTAGATATCCACTTTCATTTTTAATATTTAAATTATTTAAACTATTATTATTATTATCGTATTTTTTATTATTCAACATTTTATTTTTATCTTCTTTCTTATTTTCTTTTTCTTCATTTTCCTTTGAAGATTCATATTCTAAAAATTTATTGTCTTTTTCTATTTGTATACTTTTGATAGAATTGATATTCTCATCAAATTTATGTTTTGTATTATCACTAGATGGAATATCTGCATAATTTGTTTTTTCTTGTTCATTTAACACTTCATATTTATATTTATTATCACATTGTTCTTCGTAAAGCTCATTATATAAATCATCATCAATTGTATTATTTGGATGTTCATTTTCTTCTTTTATTTGATTATTCATTTCATTATTTATTATTTCTTTTTCGTTTTTTTTTTCTTCATTCTCTCTAATGTTATTATCTTCATTTTTTTTTTTGTTTTCTTCTTTGATATTATATGAATATATATTCTCTTGCTCTCTATATTTATCATGATTTTTTTCTCCATTTTCACTTTTTTCCTGTTTTGCATAATCTTCTGTTTCTTCTTGTTCTGTTTCGTGTTCTGATTCATATTCTTCTCTTTCTTCTAATTCTGATTCCTCTAACATTTCTTCTTCTTCTTCCTCTTCTTCATCATTACTTTCATTATTTTCTACCTTATTCTTTACATTATCATAACATATTTTTTTCAAATTATTAGTAATATAAAAAGAATAAATGTATTCTGGAAAAATGTTTTTGAAATTAAAAAATGTTAAAATAAGAAGCATACCTGCTGTACTGAATGATGGCAACGATCTTGTATATTTTAAAACACAACGAAATAAAAATGATTGATTATCTGAAGTTTTATTAAACCAAATGTAAAATATTCTTAAAATATATATTATGTTATATCTTAACACAAAAATAGAAGAATGATGATTGTATTCTGATATATTATTTGATCCAAGCCAATCATTAAAACTTAATAATTTAGCTAGTAAATACAATAAGGAATATAATAATTCGTTATTTCTATATGATTTCAATGTTATATAATTACTATTATATGTTAAATTATAAAAAAAATTAAAAAGAACATTTAAAACACTTTTAACAAAAAATATACTTTTTAATCTATTTTTCAAAATTTTGTAGAGATTTCTTCCACTTAATTTGTTAAAATTCAATAAAGCTAATTTAAAAATATTTACATTTAAGAAAAATATTGATTTTGATATTAATTTTATTAAAAATTCTAAGTTATTTTCATGATATAAAACTGTCCCTATATTTTTAAAGTTGTTGTGGTCATATTTATTTATGTAATTTATAGAATTTAAATAATCATCTGAATATATTTCTTTTTCACTGTTACTTAAGTAATTTTTTTCCTCATTAAATATTTTGCTTCCTATATTTTTTTTTTTAATAAAATAAGTATCTTTTATTGGTTTGTTTATTTCATCAATTTTATTATTTTTTATACATATATAATTACTATATTCAAAGTCATTATTATAAAAAAAACCAGAATTATCAATAAAAAAAAATTCTTTTTCTTGATTTTGTTCCTCTTTTTCATCTTCATATATATTCATAAAATAATTGATATTATAGCATAGATTCATGTAATAATATAATAAATTCAAAGATAAAAATGGATATGAATCAAGTTTTTTGCTTAGATTATTACCAGGATTATCATCCAACTCTTCTAATAATTCTACATATTGGTTATTTGTACTTCCTAATCGTATACAATTTTTTGAAGACTGATTTATATATATATCATTGTTCAATTTACAATTATAGTTATTTAACTCCTTTGATTTTTTCAATAAATACTTATCTTTTTCTATTTTACAACTTTCAATTATTTTGCTGACATTAGGAACATAATTGGACTTTAATGGAAGTAAATTTATAAAAATTTCTTCATTGTTAAACAAGCTTTGTTTTATTTTATCAATATCATTGTTAATACTTCTATTTTTTTCAGCATCACTTGTTTTATTTAAGTAACTTTTTGTTAACTGTTGATTATATTTATTTAAAATGTTAAAAATGCTTTCCTTATATGATTCTTTTTTTTTATTAATATCCATTTCATTAAATTTCTTTTTTTCAAATTTATATAAATCAATATATAAAATTTTTAAATTTTCGTACAAACGAAAAAAATATCTATAAAATAATTTATCATTACTTATATAATCTTTTAAAAATATCTTTTTAGGAACTTTATAATTTAGGGTACCAAATGAGTAATCTTTTTTTTTTTTTATTTCCCCTGTAATATTTTTAATTTCCTCTAAGCATACAAAAATAGAATAACCAAAATGAAATATAAAATATCCTGATTCATCATAGAATATTAAGTTATGAATAATATTTAATATATATCGAATAGATACTAAAATAAATTCATTTGAATTGTTATCATTTTCTTCTATTTTATTAGATATATTTATATTTTTTGAATAATTTTTTTTTCTTTCTTTTTCATCCTTTTTTTTTTCTTTATTATCTTCCTCTTCTTCATTACAGTGATCAGCTTTTTCTTTTTTTTTAGTATTTTCATTCATTTTATTTTCATATAAATTTTCCAAATATATAAAATAATAAAAAAGATAAATAATATGATGAAAAAAATTATAAAAATTATTATTATTGTATAGGGCCAATTTAGATAAGGGATATGAACATAATACATTAAAAAATTTTAAATATTCTAATGATATCTCTTCTCCTGAGTTAAAAAAATTATTAATTAATAAATTTGCCTTTGAAAAAGTTTTGAATGAGCATAAAATAAATGAACAATAATTACGAGTATTTTTAATATCTTTATAATTATATCCATCTAAATAAAACTGCTCAGAAATATCTTTATTTCTTAGTAAGTCATTATAAGTATATACACATTTTAAATTATCATAATAAAAGTTTTTTTCATTATAAATAAAACTATCATTTATATCATCTAAACTATTTAATAATTCTTTTTCTTCTTTCATATTATTTTCACATGTGGAATTATTTATATTTACAGTGTTTTCACTTTCAATAGTTTTTAATGAATCTGTAGTGTGCATAAATTCATTAACATTATCATTTCTGTAACTCATATGAACAATATTTTTATTATCATTTGAAGATATACTTTTATTTTTATCCATTAATGTAATATTTTCATTATATGGATCTTCAAACTCATAACCTAATTGTTTTTCATTATTTTTTATTTTAAAATCGTCATCACTTAAGTTATCGATATCATCCTCCTTATTTTCATTATTTTGAAAAATTTGCTCATTAGCTTCAGTACAATTCTCATCATTACCTCTTAATTTATTCAAATTATTATTTTTGTCATTTATGTTAACATTTAATTCTTTCATTTTTCTATTTATAATTAAACAAATACTTTTATATAAATTTTCAAATAATGATATGTTATAATTTATTAACAAGTTAATTCCACCTGAACAGTTCAGAAAATAAAACAAAAAGTCATTAACTGCAGTAATAAAGCAAATATCATATGAATTTAAAAATAAAGAGTTTTTTATATGAACTTCAAATTCCTTTAGAATATAAAGAAAAAGTGTAAAAAACTGATTTCTTTGTAAATAAGAAATAATATAATTATGCAACTTGTGTAAATAAAAATTATTCTTCTTTTTATTTTTCTCATCAAAAACAAAAATTTCATTCTCATATAGTGCATCATAACAACTGTTTTTACTTTCGTGATTACAAGTATGTTGAAATAATTCTTTATGGACACTTTTTAAGTTGTAAATAAATTTAGAAATAAATTTTTTGCTAAATAACATTTTGTCATAATTTCTTCTATTTAAGATTATATCTATAACACTACTTTCAAATTTATTAATTTCTTCAAAAAGTTTTACTCTGCTCATAATTATACCAAGTAGTCTTTTAATATTGTACCTATATTTAAAAAAATATATATATAATAAATTAAAATTACAAAAATCATTTCATGTATTAGTAATATATTTTAGTAGATAAAATATTATATATAACTCAAGAAATTTGGTGTAATATGTAACAAATTAGAATACTTAATATTTACATATATTTAAAATATATAAAATTTTTACCTTTTCATTTTGTTATTTGATGATAATTTTAATAATCTTTTATATGATGATTCGTTATTTTCGTCCACCTAACACAATATAAAAAAAATAAGCGTTTATATTATATATGACTATTTATCACAATATATACATATATATAATAAATACTTTTTTATATTAAATATTCATACAAATTTATGCTTTCACTTAAAAAACAAACTCTCTGAAATGTTTTTTATATTATATTTTAGTAGCTCATTATAATATATTTTTTAATATATATTTTATAAATATATAAAATAAGATAAAAAAAATGAAAAATTAAAAATAAGATATATGCAAATCTTTTACATTTAAGTTCTAAAACATTTGAAATATTTATTCTCTAACAAGTTTTAACAACGAAAAAAATAAATGAAACAAAAATGTAAACAAATAGATATATAAACTATTTTCAACGAATTTTACATATTAAAAAAAAAAAAAATTATAAAAATTATTAATTAAAAAAAATTACATTATATTAATAGTTTATGAACATATGAAAATATCAATAAACAACAAAACATAAGAAGATAAGGATAACAAAAAAAAATATTTACATTATAATAAATTAATTAATCTACTTTCTAATTAAAAAGTAAAAATAAAAACAAAATTTAACAAATAATAAATATATTAATTTAAATTTATGTAAATATATTATATATATAGATAAAAAAAATAAAATAATTTTTTATGAAATATATAACATTTTCTTTAAAAAATATACATAAATATGCATTTAAATTTTAGTTAATATATTTAGATAAATTTATTAGGTACAATAACAAAAACGGGGAATACATATATATATATAGAAACTTATCATAAAAGGAATTTCTCATTATAAATGAAAAAAAACTCTCATGCAAATGTAAATATATGTATGAAAATACAAATAAAAAATTTGCAATATACATATATATATATATATAATTAGATTACATAAATTTTTTCTTTTGTTTATTTTTATAAACATTTTCATTATTATTTAATTTATTAGCTTACATAATTGTAAAAAAGGTTCATAACATAAGAATTAGAAATAAGAGCAACAATTGTCTTTAATATTGACGTTTTAATTTTCCAAGATGATAAAAAATAAATATTATTAACATGGAGCATATCAATTAGATATATTAAAACATGAGGAGTTTTATTATCAAAGTACAAAATATCTGAATTAAAGTTCATATGTATTATATATTTAGCTAACTCTGAATATAATGCACATCTTCTTAATATTAGTAAACAACCCAATATATCATAAATTTTAATTTGCATATATTTTGAATAATTTATAAAAAAATCCTCTTCTTTATTTTTTATATTTTTATAAATATAAAATATCCACAAAGCTCCATATTTAATTATTTTTTTATATATTAGAATATCACTTTCATTTATTTCTTTTTTATTTTTATACATTTCAGTAAATATATTTAATATTTTTATTATCAAATCATTTCTTGGAGGTTTGAAATAATTTACATGTTTTTTTTCATTATCTAAATCAAATTTAGATTCAATAGAATTTCTATTGTTATTTTCAATACTTTTAATGTTTTCATTATTTTCATTATTTTCATTATTTTCAATATTTTCATTATTTTCAATATTTTCACACATTTCATCGTTACTATTGTTTATTAAAATTTGCTCGCTTTTCTTTACGTCATTTTCACAAGAAGTATTTGTTTCGTCTTTTTTTAATTCATTTTTTAAATGGCTATCTGAATTATTCACTTCATAAAAATTATTTTTTATAAATTCTTCCTCTAATATATTTGCTAATTCGTATAATTCCTTATTATTATCTTCTGTTGATAAATAATTTTGATAAAAACAATTTATTTCATTATATTTCTTCCAATTAACGTTTTCATCCATTAATGTATTTATATTATATGTCTTTATATCTACAGATTTTTTAGGTGCATATATATCATCTTTTTCCAAATCTACATTTTCTACATCTAATGTTTCTTCATTGATTTTACTTCTTAAATTGTTGTCATAGAAATTTTCTCTATAATATCTGTAATATACGAAAAAATAAAACAAAAATAAATAAATATAATGAAAAAATATGTAAATGGAAAAATATGAAAAACGAAAACAAAAATAAATAAGTATAATGAAATAATATGTAAATGGAAAAATATGAAAAAGGAAAACAAAAATAAATAAATGAAATAATATGTAAATGGAAAAATATGAAAAAGGAAAACAAAAATACTTACTTTAATGCTTCATTTATTTCCTCTGATTGTCCTAATACAATTAATGATAATGTTTTAAAACATCCTTTAATAATAATTTTATCTATTAAGAGTGATGAATCAATAGTAGAATTGTTCAAAGAAGCAAATAATAATCTGTTCTTAAAATTATAAGAAGCTGGATATAACTGTTTAAAATAATGATAATTATATTTATTGACAACATTAACATAAATACTTAAATTGCAATCAATTGGTGATGGATGTGTTTTCCCTTCAAATTCTAAGTTATTAAATATTTTATCATTAGTTGGTAAAATAAGTATACCTGTTAATAAAACCAAATTTTCATTAAAATTTATTTCTTCTACAAACACAGGATAATTATGCTGAGAAATTTCATTTAAATTATTTCCATTATTATATAAATAAGAATCGGTATATTTTATTTGATTTTTAATATCATCATCTGTTTTTTCAATATGTATAGAGCAAACTGATGTTTGCGAATTAATTAAACTATTATAATTTATATTATCTTGATCAAAATAATTCTTTTTATAAGTATTTAATCTAGTATTTTCTTTATTATTTCTATTTGCAGCACTTTTATTAAAATGCGATTGTTGATTATTTTTACCTTCTAATTTTAAATTGTTTGAGTTCAATGAATTATTATTAAATGTTGCCCCATTGTTACTTTTTTTTACTTTTATATCGTTATTACGTTTATAAAATTTATTTATATATTTAATATTGTAAACAGATTGCTTTATGTTTCTAACATATTTTTTATTTTTATGATTCATCATATTTTTATTTACTATGTTTCTTTTACTTTCCTCATCATTCTCGTTTTTTTCTTTATTAAAATACATTTTATAATTAAAAAAATAAATAAAATAAATAAATATATGTAATATATATATATATATATATATAATTAATATAAAATAATAATTTCTTTAATTTTCATAATTTTATTTAAATTACAAAAATATATGAAATGTAAATACTTATAATTTAAAAACAATACAAAAATTGAGAAAAAAAAACATTTTCTCATTTTTTTTTTTTTTCTTTTTTATATAGCATTATTTAATTACTTTATTTTAATGTATTTAGCTCATTATATATACTTGAATTTTTTTTTTTTTTTTTTTTTTCAAAATTGTTTAAATACAAAACATCAAATTTTTAATAAAATATAATACATATTTATGTTATACGTTTTTTCATTTCTTTTTTTTTTTCTTTTTTTAAAGGTAAAGTTTTTATATGTTTTAAAATTTAAAAAAAAATAAAATAAAAATGTAAATTTATGTTTAAAAAAGAAGTGTAAAAATTTAAAAAGAATAAAATAAAAAAAAATAGCAAGAAAAATAAAATATAATAAAATGAAGCAAAAAATTAAATACGGTAAAAATATATATATTAAAAATATTGTTGTGATAAAATTTACAAATGACTGTTATATATAAACTATAATTTGTTTTAAAAGTAAAAAAATAAAAAAAAAAAAAAAAAATTGTATAAAACAAAAAAAAATTTACTAAAAATATTTAAAAAGATTATGTACATGTAGCATATGAGTAGTAAAAAAAACTGTATATCATCTAAATTATATAAAAAGTTTATATTAGGTAAAAATTTAGAATAATTTATCTTAAAATATAGATTCTCTTTTTCTTATTTTATTTTATTTTATTTTTTTTTTTTTTTTTACAATAAATTTTAATTGATTTTGTTACTCTTTAAAAAAAAAAATAAAAATATGTTAAAATGTATAGATATATTTTAAAATATTAGAAATTTTCAAGAAAAAAACAAAAAACATGCTACGATAGCAATAAATTTAAAAATTGTACACATTTTATATAAATTACAATGTTCTGATTCGCACTTATTTTTTTTTTTTTTTTGGAAATTTTCATTTTTTTATATAAAAATGATATATTTTTTTTTCTTTTATTATTTAGAAAATCTCTTTTTTTCTTTTTTTTTTTTTTTTTTTTTTATAATATAGAAGATTCTAAATATTATCAGATTTTTTTTTTTTTATGAAAAATTTTACAAAGAAATAATAATTTTCAATGTAAGTTGATTTTCAGAAAATTTAATTAATTGTAGTTCTACAGATAATATAAATATAAAAAAATTCTATATACATATATTTTAGAATACACACATATTAAAAGGAAATTAAATTGATTAAATTTAAAAATAAGGGATTTTATTTATAATAATATATAATAATCATTTCTTTTTTTTTTTTTTTTTCTTAATTTTGTAAATTTTATATTTTTCATATATTTAATAAGGAAAAATAAATTTTATAAAATAAATTTTAAAAAATAAATTTTATGGATAATTTATTCTTTCTCAGTTTTTAATTAAAATATTCAAAATTTTTAATTTTTTTTTCTTTTTTTTTTTTTTTTTTTCCTTTATCTTAACATTATTTTTAAAGGAACAATAATTAATTTCTAATTTTTTAATTTTTTTTTTTTTTTTTCGTAAGACCTTTTTTTATTTGTTTATATTTATTTGGCTATCTTGGAGTAACTTAAAAAGACATTTCTTTTATAATATTAAAAATTCTTCTAAAATATGTTGTAAATTTAAATAAATATTTATGACTTAAAGTATTCTTCTAAAATATATCCAATAGTATTAGGGTATGACAAATGTGATGCAAAATGAAGATGAATACATTTTAAAGTTAAAAAATTTGAAATTCCTCCAATTCCTTTTATTCGTAATGTATTAATTTTTCTAAGTATTTCTGAAACTACATTAGAATTGATTTGATACTTCTTGAAATATTCATTTGTAACTGGTTTGATTTCAAAAGAGTTTCTATAATAGTTCATTATATCTCCACTTTTATACTGATTTAAAAAGTTATCACTATTAACAAAGAAATTATAGAAAAAAATTAAAATTCTTTTGTTAATATGTCTTAATCGGATTATTATATATTTTAAATGATCATATATCAAATAATATCTAAGTAAATTAAATTCATCACTTCTATGATTTATAAATTTTTCAATATTTTTAATTATATTAATTTTTTCTAAATGAGAAATATAAGCACATACATTTTTATTAATTAACCAATATATAGTAGGAAAAGGCCTAATACATTTTAGTAATATTATTTCATTTTCAATCATTTTTTTTAATTTTTGATCATTTTCTATTGTTGTATTATTTATCAAATTGTTTAATTCTGTATCTACATTTTCATTGCAATTTTTCATTTCACATCTGTTTTCTTTATTTGAATTAATGTTATCTTTTTTGTGTATTTCATTCAAATTTTTTAAAAGGTGAGTACCTTTTTCTAAGGTTATTTTATCACTCATTAATGTTTTCGAATAATTTTTTACATGATATGTTCCATTTTCATTACCTGTTTCATAATTAGCTGATAAATATGTGCCACCATTATAAGGAACACTTTTTTTTTTGCTTTTATATGTGTCATGTTCATTTTCTTTCATATGTATATTCAATTTTTCTTCATAATATTCTGTTGTAATTTCTTTACTACTTTCACTATTATTTTCATTTTCCTCCTTATAGAGATATATATTTTCTTTTCTTTTTTTTTTCTCATTATTAATGCTATTAATGGAAAAGGTAGAATCCTCCTCTTTTTGATTGACAAAATTTCTTTTACATTGATGAATTTTTTTAATTAGATATTTATAAAAATTTGCTTCAATTTTTTTTTCAAAAACCATCAAAAATATAAAATAATCAATTGTTAATTCGTCAAAATAAAAATCGTCTTCCATATCATTATTATCTTTGTAATATCCATATAATGTATAATCTCTAAATAAATGAGATAAGGGAGTTTTCTGTGAATATAAAAATCGATTAATGAAATATAATACGTTAATTCTTTTTTCATCATCTAAAATTTCAAATATATTTTCTGTATTTTTTTTTTTTAAAGCATTTTTTTTTCTATAATTCTTTTTATCATTTAATTCATTTTCATATATCTTCTGTTGTTTATATAAATCGTCTAAAAAAATATTTTTTAGAATAGATAAAGAATGTTCATTACTAAAGCATAAATTTATTATATAATATAAATTTTGTTTTTTATAATCATATTTATTCAAATTAAAAGTTTTACACACATTTTCAAATATTCTAGAACAATCAAAATTTATATAAAATGGAGAAATACTAATAGTTCCAATATCTTTTTTTAACATAATTTTTATTTTTCTTAATCCAATAGGGTCTCTATTTAGCATATTATGAATATCATAAAAATGATTTAAACATAAAGATGTGTCATCAAAAAAGGTATTTAAGGAATTGTTATTTTTTAATAAACTAAAATTGTACATAGATAATTTATGAGATAAATGTTGATTTTTACACTTAAAATTTTTATTTTTATTTTTGTTATCTTCTATATTAGTTGACTCACTAAAATAATTATAAACAGACTCATCTGAATTGTTACAGTTGGTAATTAAGTAATTATTATCACTTACTTCAGGAAAAGAATTTTTTAAATTAGTCAAAGATTCAGAAGAGTCTGAAATTGATATATCTGTTTTATTAAAGAACTTTTTAAAATTTGTTGATGATTCTTTATAACCTTCATGTGCCTCATCACAACCATTGCATGGAATTCTTAGCTCACTACTTAGAATACCTGAATCGCTATTAGATTTAAATAATTTTTTAAATAATTCTTTTGAATCATTTTTAATTCTCCCCTTTTTTTTTTTCTTTTTTTTATCAAATTTTACAAAATTTAAATTTATATTTAATGGTTCATTTATTAAACTATCAATGCATATTTTCTTTATATAATTTGATACCTTTTTATTTTTTGGAAATTTAAAAAACTCAAATAAATTTTTGTTGTTTAAATTTTTAGAAAAAAGGGAATCATTACAATAAATTTCTTTATTTTTGTTTTTTATTTTAAAGGGTGTCCTATAATTATAAAAAAATTTCTTATATATTTTTTCATTAGTTGAAAATACGTTTTTTGATTCAATATTAAAAATTTTAAATGATTTGACTATATTTAATAAATTATTATAGGATTCCTCATTATAAATTTGAATATCATTCGTAATAATAAATTTTAAAATACAAAATAAATCTAATTCCTTTAAAAAATTATTTTGCAAGGTTACTTGTTCAATAGAAATATCATTCATCTTACTACTTATCTATTAGAAATTAATAAAAAATATTTTCACATAAATATATGTATATATAATTTTGTTGGTAATAATATGATAATATATTTTATAGTTAAAAAAAATATTCTATAAAACCTAAATTTTTTTTTCTCTTATTTTTTTATTATTATAAAATTTTTAGAGTCATATTTTACTATTATTTTTTTTTTTTCTTTTTTTTTTTTTCTACATTTTACGAATATCTCAAATTATGCATTTAGAATATTATTAAAAATAAACTAAAACATATACAAAATGTAAATATATGTGAATAAAGAAATAAACAAAATTATGAATTAATTTTTTATAAAGTATATATTTATAACATTCTACTATAGGATACTTATTTTTTTTATGAAATTATAAAATGTGTTAAAAATACTTGGATAAAATTTATGACTATAATATAAAATAAAAATGGAATTCACATTTTGACATAATAAAATTTTTTATTTTTTTAGAGGAAAATTAAAAATTATAAAGCTCTAATAAAAATAAAAGATGCATTGTAAAAAGATAAAGTTGAATCCTTTATTAATTTTTTTATATGCATATTTAAAAAAATTTTTAATTATCATATTTTTAAAATATGTATGAAAATTAAAATAAATTGTCAAATATGTTTTTAAATTAACCTTATATATATCATAAAAAATAATTCTATCAAAAATGAAATTTAATTAAATATTAAAAAAACAGGATAAAATCGAAAAAAAAAAAAAGTAGAACAAAGGTATGCATTTGTATATATTCTTTTATAAATAACATAGTGTGTCATTTATGATGATTTTTTTTTTTATACTTCTTTATTACAAAAATAAACCAATTCAATAAAAAATTCTAAAACAGTAAAATTATGTTTTAATTCTTCTCATACAATGTATATTGATGAAGTAATAATTTAAATTATAATATTCCTTTTCGTATTTTTTTCACAAAATATCATTTATGTAATAATGAAGCTTAAATTAATTTTTAGTAATAAGAATCATTTAATATGTTAACTTTCAAATTACATTTACATTTTCTTTATTTTGATAGTGTATATAAAATTATATAACCTTTTTTCATACTTTTTAAAAGTGAAAACAAACTATTTCAAAAGGAAATTTCTTATGTAAATATAAAAATTTAGTATCTTTTTAATAAGTATCATCTACTAAAAAATGTTATATATTAATAAAAGTTTGTTTTTATACTTTTATTTTTTTTTTTTTTTTATGTAAAAAATAAATTAATACTATAGATAAATTAATAACAATAAAAAAAATCATGATCATTTACCTATCGAATAATAAAGCACCTACATAAAAAAAAGTAATTAAAAAAAAAAAAAAAATAAAAAGTGCAAAAACTAGGATTTGAAATATATATAAGTAAAATTTGCATACATATATATATATATATAAATATATATAAGAAAAATTTTAATAACATTTTATCATCGTAAGAAAACTGTTTTAAAAAGAAATATTTATCAAAATATTAATAAGTACTGAAAAAAAAAGCTATATATTTTTTTTTTTTTCTTGAAAAATTTAAAGATAAAAAATATACTTGTATATATATATATATATACAAAATTGAAATAAATTAAATATTATATAAAGTTAAATTTATTAAATATGGAGAAAAGTTTTATTATGGTTAAGCCAGATGGTGTGCAGAGAGGCTTGGTGGGTTCAATAATAAAGCGTTTTGAAAGAAAAGGATATAAAATGATAGCAATAAAAATGTTAAATCCATCTAAAGAAATTTTAAAAGAACATTATAAAGATCTATGTGAAAAATCATTTTTTAGTTCTTTAATAGAATATGTTGGTAAAGGACCTGTAGTTGCAATGGTATGGGAAGGAGTAGATATAGTAAACCAGGGAAGAAAATTAATTGGTGAAACTAATCCATTAAATAGCAATGTAGGTACTATTAGAGGAGATTTTTGCTTAGAAGTAGGAAAAAATGTAATTCATGGTAGTGATTCAGTTGCATCAGCTAATAGAGAAATTAATATTTGGTTTAAACCGGAAGAACTAGTACAATGGAATTATCATTTAAAGGAATGGATATGTGAATAATTATATATTTTTATTATAGATGTTTCATTATTAATACTTGAAATTTTATTTTTTTTTTTCATTTTATTTTATTCTTTTATTAAAAAGAAAATTTTCATTTTATAGTTAAAAAAAATTCCTTTTTTTTAAGGAAAAAAAAATAATAATAATGTTCATTTTAAATTTTAAATGGTCCATGAATCTTATATAAGTATATCAATATACTTTTTCTTTTTTTAATTTTAATTAAAAAAGATTTACTAATATTATTCTTGTAGACATATATATTATCTAGGTAAACTATAAAAAAAAAAGGAAGATAATTATTCATTAAATATTTTTTTTTATAATTCATTTTGGACATTTTATTACTTAGAAATTTTACATATAATTATTCAATTGAAATTTACAATTGACAAATATAATCATATTATTATAATATATTTTCTTTTAATAAAATAAATAATTACACTAACATTGATTGTCCATAAATAAAAAGCTTTCGTAATTTTTTGTTAAAAGCATTTAAGTAAATATTGATTTAAATTTTTGAATTTTCAGAATATATGCAAAATAACAAAGGCTCTTAAAATATAAATCATAACACTAATTATTTTTAAAAAAAACATATAAAAAAAATATTCTATAACAATTTAAATGAGATACAATTTTTTAGTTTAATTTCACATTTAAAAAAAAAAAAAAAGAAAGAAAAATTATACTTTTTACTAATATTTATAATTATGGTTATATATATATAATGGAAAATTTTAAATATTTTGAAACATTCATGAATAATCATTAAGATACAGAATAATATACTTTAAATTAAAAAATTGTATAAACATAAGTAAACAAAAAAAAAAAAAAAAAAAAAAAAAAAAAAAAAAAAAAAAAAAAAAAAAAAAAAAACATAACTTTTTTAAATGAACAAATTTTAATTATTTACTTATATACTTACAAATATATATATGTGAATATATATGTTTTCTTATATTATTTTTGTAAGCAAATACAAGACCTTAATAATGATTTATTTCATAAAAAAACAATTTTCAAAAATAATCGCATATATTTTCCAGTATTCAGAATATAAAAAATATATTTCTATGAAAAACTTTTGGTTTTCATTATTTGTACATAATATTTCCTCTAGCTGTTTATGTAAATTATCTTTTAAATTTGAAAATATAGTACAATATAAAAAAAACTTATTTACTTAATATATATATATATATATTATGAATAACTTTATAAATAATTTTATTTATTTTTGAATATTCACAAAAAATACATATATCTTTATATGTGTGTGTACTTTTCTTATAAGGTTTATACTTCTTTTGTTTTTCTCTTCCGTATGTACAAATGTTAGCTTCATGTTTATTTAACTTAGTGCCTTAACGACCATATTTACATTAAATTTTTTGAGATGTGTGTACTTTTGTCCTACTCCAACAAAAACAATTGGTTTTCCTGTTAAATAAACCATAGATAAAGCAGTTCCAACTTTATCATCAACAGTGTCAAATTTTGTTAAAAGTATTCCATCAATTGTTCTTTTATTTGAATTACATGTTGCCTCAGCTAAGGCTTGATTAAATTTTTTTAATTGATCTATTGCATCATTTCCTACCAAAGCTTCTCCTACAAATAAAATTAAATCTGGATTATTATTTAAAATTAATTTTCCTAAAGACCTCATCAATGGTTCATTATCTTGCATTCTTCCTGCTGTATCAATTAGAATAACATCATAGTTTTCTTTTTTTGCATATAAAATAGCATCTTTTGCAATATTAGAAGCATCTTTTCCATATCCCTTTTCATATAAAAATACATCCAAGCAATTTGCATGAGTTCTTAATTGTTCAACTGCTCCAGCTCTGAAAGTATCACATGCAGCTATCATAATTTTTAGATTTCCTTTATTTTTTAAATAATAACATACTTTTGCTAAATTAGTTGATTTACCAACACCGTTTACACCTAAAAACACTATTGAATATAATTTTCCCAAAGATTTGGCCTCCAAAGCTGAACGTAACACATCTACTGAATCTTTTGGTATTAATATAGTTTGTAATGTTTCAGTTAAAACATTAGAAACAACATTTTTAATATTCCTCGCAAAAATAGTCTTTCTTTTTCCTATTAAGTTTTCTTTCATTCTATCCATTAATGTATCACATATATCTACTGCAACATTTTTTGAAAGTAACTTATTTTTTATTTCTTGTAGGATATTTTCAATATCCTCTTCTTCAATTTTATTGTTATAAGAAAAAAATTTTAAAAATGTATCATTTAACTTCGTTAAAAAAGTATTACTGTTATCATTATTGTCATCACTTGAATCATCTATTTCCCCTTCATATTTTTCTATTTCGTTATAATTATTTTTATTTTGATTTTTTGAATAATCTAATTTTTCCAAATCTTTTTTAGTAACTTTTTGGCTCATTTCCCATTCTCTTGCAGTTTTTTTTATTTTACCTTTTTTTTTATTATTCGAAAGGTTTTCATCATTATCATTCAATTTTTCTTCTTCATTTTTAAATTTATTATTTTTTTCTTTTTTCTTGTTGTCATTATTACTTTTCTTTTCAAAAATATTCTCATTTTCATCTAAAATCTTTAAAAATTGCTTATCAAAATTTATTGGAATATCAATTTCAAATACATCTATATTATTAGGAAATAATTTTATAAAAGATTTTTTTATTTTTAAAAATAAATTATCTAAGTAAGATGTATTTTGAATTCCTTGATATACAATAAGTATAACTATATCTAAATCATTTATTAATTTCCACTTTACATGAAAATTATTAAATTTTTTACAAAATTCATCATATTTCTCTTCTATTAAAATATTTTTAACAATCATTCTCATCGTTGTATCTCCAATATCATAAAAATTATACGACCATAACAAAACTCCACCTTTACTAAATATATTAATTACATCTATCATTTTCTTTTAACATAAAAAAAAAAAAAAAAAATTAATGGGGTATCTTATTTATTTACATAAATATAATTAAAAACAAAAATTTAAGTGTTAATTAATTATAATTATTAAAAAGAAAAATATTCATCACAATTCAACTATAAATATAAATTCTTTAACTAATGGCTATTTAAAATACATACTTTCATATATTTTCTATATATATTTTAAAAAATTATACAAAAATGTCATATATAAATAAAATAATTAAATAAATTAATAAAATATAGGAATAAAAAAAACATATAAAGTTCAAATTTTATTATTTAATAATATATCATAAACGTAATATGGAAATTAATATATTTTGCCAAATAAAATAAGAAAGATATATACTAAATTTAGTATATATTACAAAAAAAAAAAAAAAAAAAAAAAAAAAAAAAAAAAAAAAAAAAAAAAAAAAAAAAAAAAAAAAAAAAAAAAAAA